TTAAGGCTGAAATAACAAGGTTTCCTTAATCATCTAGCAACTCATTAAGGATGCATGACATTCCAATCACTGCACTAAGTACACCCTAATTATTTGAAGGTTGTGATTAAAGTATTAAAATATGTTGTACTGTCTTTGTAGGTCTAAATTTTGCACTTACCTGTATGTTTGCAACCCTTGGCAAAATTGCATAGGTTCTAATTTTAAATAAAAATATGAATACAAATCAACTTTATGATGTAGTTAGTGTATAGGTATGGATCAAGAAATTAAAGTCATAAATATGTATATATATATACATATATTGAGATCGTATTAGGATGATGAAAACAAAAGTAGGTAAACAAAGACAGATCTACACTAACATGGTTTTTGAGAGATGTGGGCAGAAAGTGGCTTTTGTGGTCCAGACTTGCTAGTTTTACAGGGGATCACCTACCCTCCAGACAGTTTCAACATGCAAATTCCCAAGTATAAGGTTTCAGGGAAATATTGAACAGAGAAGATGGGTTTTGGAGGGGCAAAAAAATAAGAGCCCCAATCCCTCATAGACTTATCTATATGGTAACAAATATCCATAAATTAAAAATTATTTGAAATAGTTCAGGCTCTTACTAATGTTACAGGGGGATACGACATAGTTTCATATAGCCTGGTGAATTTAGAGAATGTATACATATTAATCTAGTTTTGGTAAACAATAAATAACAATCACTTTCACTTGGGGATATTTTGTAGTCTTAATTTGAGTTGTATTTTTTTTTTAATTTCCTTATTAGGGGAAGCAGGTTGTGAAATGACAGAGCATATTCTTGTTAATTGGAAACAGGGAATCAACAAAGTGAGGGGAACATCACCTGGCTTTACACAGCGATGACTGTAAAGCCAGGCCTCTTCATAGTATCATGAAAATAACGTTTTGGCAGTAGGACAAGAGGTTGTTACACTTTATTGTTCATTGTGGTTAGGTACACAAGGCAGTATGAACATTTGATGGCATATTTGTGTTTTGAAATATGACAGCCTTTTTTTTAATGTCCCAATAAATATGAAATCCTCTGGAAATATTCCTGTCCAGTTAGAAGCCATCTAAACGTCCTCGTTTATAGTGTGCAATAGATTTTAATGAAGCCATGTGAGTTCGTTCTTAGCAGATTACCTGATGGCCCCACATCAGTCATCAAGTGGACGAAGTTGTCTGGTGAACATGAGGTAGACACACTCATAACGTCTGTCAGAATTTAGGGACAGTAGGCAGAGTTTCATGCTGTGTGAAGGACAGCCGACTCCGATTTTGCACGTTTCCCACCTTTCTCCTTTGCCAACAACCAAAGAACTCCTCTTAAAACTTTTGTCTTCTCCAAGAAGAAGAAGAAGAAGAATGTTAAAGAACCTTGTTCATCCTGAATAGCAGCAACAGAATCCAGCAATGGGTCTGTTATGCACAACTTGTTCCATGTGTGGTGGCATCGTATCACTTTCAAAGGTGACATGAACTATTATTAGGTTTCAGAATGAGTGCCTCCCAATTGAGAAGTTTGTATTTGCCTTTTAATTCCTCCATCCTTTCCCCCTTCTTCTTTTGTTCTCTTCTCCCATCCTCCCTTCCTCCCTCGGCTGCTGATAAATCCAGACTGCAGTGATCCTCCATCACGTACCCATACATTGAGCACTTCTCTCATACTGAACCAGGCTTAGAGAATACGAATCAATAAGTTGACAGGGAAGAAGTCAATGGGTAGAGTTAAGGCAGGCTGTCTACAAATGTTAGGTGTGCACTTCGATGGAGCCAAGGAGACCTATAGAGAGTTGGAAATGAGGTACTTCATCACATATTCCTAGAGGCAGAAAATGAGAGAAAACAAGCAGTTCTCAAGGCAGCTCATTTATCTTGCTTCTATTGCTTTATTCAGAATGCTCTGGCCAAGGGTAGGCATCCTAACGAGAGTGCAAAACAAGCACCTGAAGCCATGAGCTTACACAGATTTATAGCCCCTGGGTAAAAGATGGAGAAGTAGTCCAGCTATGCTTTCTGTGAAGCTCACATTCATATCTTTGCAAACTTTTAGAAGCACATTTCCAAGTCTACAAGATTGCTTTTAAAACCTTCCGTCCTCCCTTTCTTTTCTCTTTTCCCTTCCCTCCTTCATTCCCTTCCTCCCTTTCTTGCTCATACCCTCTTTTTCATCCATTAATTTATTTAGTTATTCATTCATTTGGCATATATCTGTTGAGTGTATAATATATGGTAAATTTAGTCTAACTGCTAGGAATACACCTGTGAGCAAAAGATATACCCTGACTCCTGTAAAGCTTACATTGCAGTAAAATATATAAAGAAAGAAGCAAAATAAATGAATAAATAATACAGTAATCTAGAAAGTAAAAACTGGCAGTGGAATTAAATAATATATGCATTAATATTCTTTTTTTGAAGACATAATTCATGGCTGTCAAAGAGACTGGCTCCCCATGAAGATGATTCTTCATTTGAAGTGTGGTATTAGAACCAGTGTGCAGGTATATCAGCCAGCTATTGCTGTGCAACAAGCAGCCATGCCCACACTCACTGGCTTACACTTTAGCCGTTTATTGATCATGCATGAGCATGTAAGTTGACTAAGGACCGAATGGTTTAGGTGTATGCAAGTGTCAGGTTCTATTGTGCTTGCTCCATTTGGCTCTCATCCTCCTGAACAAGAGGTCTCCCTGAGGCATGTTCTCATCATGTATTAATTCTTTGCCAGAGTCAGAGTCCACTAATATCTTATTAAACAAAGGAAGTCATTTTTTGTCAACCAGAATTCTGAGGTGGAAATACTGCCTAGCAGGGAGCTCTGACCAATGTATGGATTTACAAATGATGGCAACCTGAGGCCAGTAATTCACCCTATCATGAGAGGTGGGTTTAATTGTACCCCAGCACAAGGGGCTTGCATCTTGATGCAGGCAAAAGGAAAAGCATGCCAAGAACTTACATTGTACAGAAAGATGCATTGCCTGTTACAGCTTCACAGCACAGGGGTTATTTCTGAAGCAATGCTGGGGAGCGGATGCATATCCATAAAGAAAAGCATTTGGAGGGTGGGCTGTTGAGGAACACATACCTGTGCATGCTCAATCTGTGGTCATATGTAAGGAGGGAATATGGCAAACACATTGGGAAACGCTTAGCTCAAGATCATGTGTAGAAGATAGATGTGTTTGTTACAAACTAAAGTGGACACTCTCAAGAGTGAGAGGTGCAATGGCTAGAGACTGTTGTGCCAACTGGCGTGATTAAGCAGGCTCGATAACTGTTTTCTAAGCTCTATGGAATGTACAACTTTCTGGGAAGGTGTTTCTTGTCCAGGTGATTGATACAACCATTTGGATTAACTTTAAAGAGGGAGGGACAGTTGTCTTTGTTTTTATCAGAAACCCTATAAGTAGACAGAAATTTTATGGGTTTTTAAGAACTGTTTAGAATGTTGTGTCTCCATCCAGAGTCAGAGATATGACTTGGGTTCCATTCATTTTTTTTTAAACTAACTAACTAACTAATTAGTTAATTAATTAATTTAAAAAACTATCTTTTCTCATTTTATATATCAGAAAATTTTCAAGAGCTCAGAGTTTGATTCAAGGCTCACAGGCTCAAACTAAAAGCAGAATGTGCTGTTGGTGTGAAATGGGACATGAAAGCAGAAAAGCAAAGATTTGGGCCCATGCTCATATGTATTCCTTTCCTCCACAGAAAACAATCAGCCTGGCACTTTTATTTCCCCTAGACCGAGTGTGAATGAGCTACATCATGAGGAAGGGCTATAACCAAGGGGCTTTGCTTGTCATAGCCAGAACCTGGGAACAACCTAAATGCCCTTCGATCAAAGAATGGATAAGGAAAAATGTGGTACATTTATACATTGGAGTACTACACAGCAGAAAAAAATAATGACAGCTTGAATTTTACAGAAAAACGGATGGAGCTAGAAAACATTATTTTGAGTGAGGTAACCCAGACACAGAAAGACAGTTATCATGTACTCATTCATAGGTGGTTTTTTGTTGTTGTTGTTTTTGATTTTTTGTTTGTTTGTTTTGTTTTTCGAGACAGGGTTTCTCTGTGGCTTTGGAGCCTGTCCTGGAACTAGCTCTGTAGACCAGGCTGGCCTCGAACTCACAGAGATCCGCCTGCTTCTGCTTCCCGAGTGCTGGGATTAAAGGCATGCGCCACCATTGCCCGGCATAGGTGGCTTTTAAACATAAAGCAAGGAAAGCCAGCATACAAACCACAATCCCAGAGAATTTAGACAACAATGTGAATACAAACTGAGACTTAAATAGATCTAATCTACATGGGAAATATAAAGTAGAAAAAGACAAGATCTCCTGAGTAAATGGGGAACACGGGGACCTTGGGGAGAATTGAAGTGGGAAGGTTAGAGGTAGGGAGCGGAGCAGAGAAAAATGTAGAGCTCAATAAATATCAATAAAAAAATGAAAAAAAAAACAAAAAAAGGAAAGAAAAGAACTGGGGAGATGGTTCAGCAGGTAAAGGTGCTTAATGCCGAGCCTGATAATCTGGGTTCAATGTACAGATCCTGATGATAAAACAAAAGAACCAATACCTGAGAACTGTCCTTTGACCTCCCCCTGTGTTCCATAGCTCATGCATGGGTGCACATAAGTAAATAAGAAAAATACAATTTTCATTTAAAAAGAAAAAGAAAAAAATAGCTGCAAAAAGAGAAAACAGCTTCTAAAAAGTCCTATAAAGGGGAAGCAAGTATGGTCTTCTGATTTTATCTCCTTTTTCTGGCCAGTTAGTTCCTCTGTGTTTGTCAGATAATACAGTGTTGAAGCATTGTCTGAGGTAGGAGAATCAACCGTGCGGAGTGCAGGTCCTTGTGGCTGAGCCTCTCTTCTTCCTTGTGTATCTTGCGTCAGTGTGGTCTGGCCCCCAGTTCAGTGTCATGCGTTGTAATTTGCAAGCTTCGCTTTCTGTTGCTTTTCCGCAGATTATGTTACTCACGGACCCAGAGATTGAGAGCAGTTTATTGATCAGCTCCGATGAAGGGGCAACCTATCAAAAGTACCGGCTCAACTTTTACATCCAGAGTTTGCTCTTCCATCCGAAGCAGGAAGACTGGATCCTGGCATACAGTCAAGACCAAAAGGTGAGCACACTTGCCATGCTTGACACAGCGGTGCACACCTGCCCCGGAAAAGGCCACTGGTTACCCATCTGGAACTATCATCTCACTGATCATTTCTCTTTATTTTTCTCTTCTGTGCAGTAGCCTGAACTCAGTGCATGAGAACATCTCAGGTTGCTTGTCACAGCTATGCAAATACATGAAAAAACATACCAAAGAAAGTTCAGATATCAAGTGAAATCTTGTAGAGAAACAGTATAAAGCTTGGATGCCATGTTAGACACCTTTCCATCAAATATCTGACCTAATTCACCTAAAAAATGACAATATGCATTTTAGTTCATAGCACTGAAGATTCCAGTTCCTCGGTGAGTGATCTTCACTTTGGGTCTCTAGAAAATTGATCCATCACAGTAGGGGCATAGGCCAAACTCTGCTATTCCCTATCAGCTAGGGCAACAACATAAGACGGGTAGTCTAGAATACCACAGATTCTCTGGGAAGTAACCTAAGGGCACCTTGGTGAACCTCACATGCCAAAGTTCCACAAAACCAAGAGAGAAGTTTTAGCACAACTTGGTCGACCTTCAGCACTGTAACAGATGCTGAAGGACTTACGAGGCACCGATTTTCGTGGAATTTGAGGATGTTTTGTGAGTTTAAATCAATGATCATTTTCTTAGTTCAAGACCTATTGCTTTACCCACAACCTCAAAAAGCAGCTACTTTACTAAGGCTTCAGGCATTAGGTGACTTTTAAAAAGTGAGAAAGATGTTCAGAGGTCAGTATCCTCTTTAGGCTTTTATCTTATGGATTTCCTTCACTTGGTAGCAAAATGGAAGATGTCCACTTCTTCTAGATCATTAGATGAAGTTGTACTACACATGTATTCAGTTGCATGTGTATGCCACATAAATATTGTACTACATCTTAACTGTTCTCTATTATCTATTGTATGTAGGTACTATATCAATACATGGGTTATTTTGTCTTTAAAATACTTAAACAGCCACATAGAGTATAAGGCTACCAAATTGACAAGTAAAATTGTAATGGAAAAGGTAGGTAAACATAAGATAAACTTGAGTCATAAAAATTCAAATGAAAACAGGTGAGATACTGGCATTCTTTTTATGTAATCTATTATTCCACAAAATCATCTGAAAATTCTTTTGAGAGGCATCATAGCTTACATATTACATGTCCTTAAAGAAATATTGGGTTTCCATTAGTTGGAGGAGATACTAAATGTGTTGGATAGATTTATTGTTAACACAAGCTAGAGTCACCTAGAAAGAAGGAACCTCACTTGAGGGATTGTTAAGATTATATTGTCCTGTATCTGTATCTGTAAGAGAGTGTCCTGATTGTTTATTGATATGGGTGTGCCAATTCCACCATGGACAGTCTCTTCTCTGAGAAGGGTAAGCCTCATCTCTATAAGATATTTAGCTAAGCATGAGCCAGTGAGTGAGCCAAAATGTAAGCCAGCAGGCATTTCTCCCTATAGATCCTACCTTGACTTCCTTCAAGGATGAATTGTGACCCGAAAATGTAAGCCAAATACATCCATTCTTCCTGAAGTTATATTTTTGACAGAAAGAAAACTGGAACACTGTTGTTTTCTTTGTTTGGGCTGGTCTCAATATTTGGGGTTCTCCCTAAAGGCAAAGAAAGATTGTAAGCAATTTCCCAAGGTCTCTAGTGATATGGGCATTTTGAAGCAAGCAAACTAGCATCACAGAATTGGAGTTTTAGTCATACTGCCCTACCACCAAATAAAACTCACATTAAGTCTAAAAACAGGAAAGGTTTACCATTAGTCTTTTTTCTTCTTAATTAGCCTGGGTACACTTTCACACAACGTTCAATTTTGCGCCTGGAGTTGAGCCGCCACGTGTTTGGTGTAATTAACAGTGAAGACAGAGCTGGGGTATCTGCCATTTAATCTACTGTTATCGTATTTTATTCCGCTCTAAGTTAAGTTAATTTTACCCCATGATGCCTGAGGCATAGTGCAGGGCAGATTCACTTGGATAACACCTTTGCAGTTATGCTAGAGGAGATGCCCTGAAATGTAACCCCTGAGGACCCAGTACTTCATGCTTTCTATAATCACTCTGAACAAGTAGATAGCCCCGGAGGAATGAGGACACCTAGGCAGAGGTCCCAACTCCACCACTTATAGTGAGCAGTATTTTCTGCTCTTTTGAAATAAAGCATTTTCTTAAATACGTTTGTATAGCTAGTTATGTTTTTTGCAGGTCCACTTTCCATGTGATGGAAAATAGTATTAGACTCTTCATCTTTTTTTGAAGTGTTGACTTACAGAAAATGACATCAAGCTTTAATTCATACAGACTTAGAAGATTTATAGATATGACTTAATCTAACATTCTCTAAAAAGTCAGGGAACCTACTGATGCACAATCATAGTGGCTACAAAAATTATATGAACTTAATAACCAAAGTTCAGATGATAAAAGTTTAGTGACCTTTTGGCTTATAACCTCTAGAGGCCATAAGAAATTACTCCAGTAGAGCAAAAAATATGATGAACCTGTTGATAAGGAGCACAGTTTTTCTTCTTAAATAGAGGAAGAAGAATCTCACAAATAAATAATTTTATAAAGTTGGAAAAGTAGTATTTACAGAGTGGAATTTCCATCAAAAATAGAACATTGGCAAAGCTCACTATAATACACTAGACTTGTGGAAGGTGATACTAATGTTCATGGTTTGGTCTAATGGCAAATGTGGCTATTTGTCTCCCTAGTTTAATGCCTTTGAAAAGTTGGGTCAGGGCTGATATATTCTGAGCTATGGACTCTAGGGTTAAACATAGAAATGTAAGGATGAGTTAAGATTATATGAGGGTCTAGCTCAAAGGTTTATGAGGATAGGCTTGATGAATCCTTTGCTTTCAGAACTTAAAGAATCCTGATCAATCTTTATTCTATATAATGTGAGAAATTCAAAATCAGATGATTCAACAAATGGTATCATAAGAAAATTTCAGTTGATTTCATGTGTGGATGTTGTAGAAACAATAGAAGAAAAACCTTTGCATGAAATTTTGTGGAAATCTCACTTTTGATAGTGATATTTTGAAGTGAACATGTGAACAGAAATAGTCTTTCTACTTTGGTCTCTGGTTTTGCAAGAGAAAATTAAGGCTAAATCAGTTATGTGGTGGGACTAGACAATCTGCTGATGTGTGTAGAGAATTGGAAAGATGTCAGTGTCTCAGGACTTACATCAAGGTGTGAGGAGCATGGCATTATCTGGACGGGAAGGGATCTGGCACCATCTGAAAACTCAATGGTACTCTTGTGAGTTAAGTGAAGAGGGCCTGTGGCCCACCAGGTGGGGTCAGCGATGCTGGTATCAGAGTTCTGGCAATCATTTACAAACCATGGAATTTTTAGAACTTATAAGATGCAGCTCTGGGTACCAAGGAGATCTTCCTGTTGGCATTGATTGGCCAGCATCTGTGAATTTTAGGAAAGAGGAACATTTGTTCTTGTGTATAAGTATTGTTCATCAGTTTTTCTCTGTGACAGCTGCTAGTGCTGCTGTTGCCAAGCTCTCAGCTAAGATCTTAGCCCCAGAGCAAGCTTTCCATCTGCTGGATGCAGTTTCATGTCAAACCCAAGCAAACATAAAGGAACTGAGTCCTATAAAACACTGTGGTGAGGGGCTGGCACCCATACAGCTTGTTTAAGTGCACCGTCCTTGCCCCTCCCTCTTCCCTTACTTCTTATCTTCTTTGTACTTTGGGGCATACTTTTCTTCTATGTACAGAGATTTTGTTTTTCTCGTGTCTATGACATTGGTTGTTTTCTGTCCTTCAAGAAATGAAACTTTTAAGACCCTGAGAGGAGGATTTGGAAGTGTGGTCTGAAGAATGCTCAAGAGGTCTGAGATGCCTTTTTGTGCATCGTACTGAGTGCACAAACACAGCTTTTGATGTGAGCGTTAGACGGCCCTCAAAGACTTCTGTTGACCATATTGTTATTTTCTTTCTGGAACACAATAGAGATTTACTGGCCACCAGTTGAATGGAAATTTCAAACGAATAGCTGCTATTTAACCTTGGAGCAATTTTTATGCCCGAATGTCCTCCTCAGAATTAAGAGGATTATACTGTTTTCATAGCTTAGGATATTTCTTTTTCTTAGATGGTAAAATCTATTGAGGATATTATCAAGTATTTCAGTGGTTGTATAGTAGATGTTTTCAAAAATAAACTGATTGGAGAAAAAGAAAATTATGATTATGAATGGGATTTTATAAGGATTTTCCTGCTCTATTTCCTGTGTTCACAACATACAGAGGGGAATCCCACATCATGAGGGAACCAAATACATAGGGGTCCAGTCACCCTGAATTCATATTTGGCTACCGATATTGACTTTGGTTTGACACAGGAGATTTAGGGCAAGAGGTAGGAGATATGCAGATTTAAGCATAGTCAAAGTATGCACTGTTTGATCACTAACTCGGTTCTGATTCAGCAAGATAGTCGCAAAATGCCCCAATTATTGTTGTCACAAGAGATCACTATGGCTCTTCTTCAGGATGTCACTTCTGATCTGTGTTGTAACCTCATCATAATGGATAATAAATGCCAGAGAGGAAGCTGACTGTCCCTCCTAATTCTGCTGTTCCCAGAATCCAAAGCGACTGCAGGTTTTAGGGTGGTGATTTACCTGCACCTTCATCCTTAAAGGAACATAAGATAATTAGACAACCACTCCTTGTGGGATTAACATGCATGTGTGCAAAGTTAACTGATTTTCCACACTAGAAGAGAGACACAGAATGAAGGCAAAGATGTCAGCGTACTCTTGTTTTGGTTAGTCAATAGGACAAAGTGAAAAATCAATGTTTTGGTTATAATTGTACTAAATTTATTTACTTATTTATGTGTGTGTGTGTGTACCTGTGATATGTGTTTGTGTACTGCTGTGTTTTTATCCATGTACATGCCATGGCAGGTATGTGGATGTCAGAGGAC